AGACAACTCTGCTTCATCATGGGAACACATGCACCTGTGTGTCGGTTTCCCTTATTTAATGGTTGCTGCATTAGGCGACTTCGCAGATACTTGTATGCGGCTTATGAATCTCTACGCACTGCAGTAGTATCATTTGATATCAAGTCTTCGGCTGTTACACTACGTGAAAGGTTTCAGTTATATCTATTGGTTGGACGCAGAATGTTTATGTATCTGGGACACAAATTTGATTGGATCAGTGAATAGCTGCAGCATATATTTGATGGCTAATCAGCAGGGACAGGCCACTATTGTTTTTAATATAGTGTTCAACGTCCAGGAGATTGCCGTCGAAACAGTGAGCCACAGAGCCTCCATTGGGGCGTACTAAGTGAAGTTCTTACAGTATATACAACATACACAACACCTCATTTCGCGAAACCTTAATTGGCTGACAGTGATAAGAAGTTTCTATATAGTTTATATTTCTATTATGTCTTCTATTCCAGTAAAGCCTGTTATTATCTATATAATCCTGCTTATGGTCGGTCATAGACAGTATGTCCTATTTTATAACATATACACTTTAATCTTTCAATACTACGCTTCATATTCGCATTACGGGATAAAATATAACCATTACTCATCGACCAAATTGAATATACTACCGATATCGGAAGTTTGTACACATCATCGTTCGACGGACGTGCACAAGGGGCAAGATGTTGTGGCCGACCACTTCGAGTGGACAAGCAATAACATCTTGCTCATAGGAAATTAGCTAAGCGCCCTGCCTATGGTGCAGGGATAACCTAGGTACAGATGAAGTTGGATTAAGGTTACTATAGTACTTGGCAAGATAGACCTACATTAGACCGTTTTATTATTGACATATACTGCTTGTTGAAATTGTACTATCCTTTAAGTTTATATATTCATACGAGTAGAAGATCGTTAAATCTTTTTACTCCTTCATTTTTGAGACTCCATAGGGTTACCCTGAATATCGACATCATTCTGATCCTCTTGCTGTAGGACTGTTGCTGAGGGTATGAAGACTAGAACACTGTTCCCCTAACCCAACTTGTTATCTAGAGGCGCTCTAGTGAGCGTATCAGAAGCGCTAAATATAGATTGAAAGACTGTATCGGCGGAATTGAGGCATATAGACAGGCAGGATGTCAAACCCTATCGGTGCTGTTCCGGTGAGGGAACTGTCCGCTACACGCGACACTGTGCGGTCCGGCCGTAGGAGAAAGCCTCTTGGTCACACAAAATGCGTTCGCATTCGAAAGGGGAAGCTGGCATTTGGTTTCAGGTTGCCAATTCTTTGCGTTATTAACTCAGCGGGCTGGTCCGAGATGTAGCTATTGAATGCAAGGCCCGGGATACAATCAATGGGCTAAGCCCGAGGATCCCGTGCCGAAGCTATGCTGCCTTCAAGAACAGTCATCAGAGCATCTAGAGAATGCGTAGGGGACAGAGAGGGCAGAGATAGCCATATGCAACAGAGGCATTAGATGGCAGCGTTGTGGTGATGTGTGGCTTGAAGAGTGCTTCGAAACGTGTCAGATGACTTTCTTCATATTCAAACCGGGAGTTTTGCTCCATCAGATTTGAAGCGTATGTTAGGATATCTGGACTAGTTCAGGCACGCTGCTTTACGTTCAGACAAGATTGGTTGGTTGCTATTAGGTACAAGGATCAGCGATGCGATGATCGACACGGCTTCCTAAATCCGAGTTAGCAGCGCACAAGAAACGGGCTGTCGTGCCGGCAATAATAGCAACTTTCTAGAAGTTCTAACGCCATCCTATAACCTTAGTGATGCAGCCTCCCGTGTCTGAGCTAGTAGCAAGTCCCTGCATAATCAAGCTAGCTAGAGGCTTGTCCTTCAACGATCCACCCTTGCGTCTCAGCCACGCTAGAGGAGAGTGGCAATAAAGCAGATTGTCTGGTGAAAGCTTCGAATGAGTGAACTCAGGCTGTTGAGGATGATAGGTCGACCATATATCTCGATAGCACAGAATAGGAGCGGCTCAAACACAAGCGCTAATGAAAATCGACGACGCCAGGGGCTCCAGCTGCTTTTATTATATTTGTGTAAGCCTTGTGTAAGCTGTGGAGCTCCTGAGGAGAACATTGTAGTGGACATTGACCTAGAAATCCTTAGTGTCCCGTGGGTTGGTAGTATTGATTAGGATTTGACCCGGAGTTACGAACCGAAGATGACGACGGAGAAGGGAGTCGTATAAACCTTTGTACGCACTTTTCGGATTCTTGAAGCCTTGTGGCTTCTCCTAGTCGATCTAGTTGAACCGTATTGGATTATCGGCCAGTCGCCTTATGTTGCTTTCTTATGGCTCGACTTTAACATGCGGAGAGTTTCGACCGAAATGAGGAGACTCATATCTGCGTGGTCCATATTGTGAAGGTTCTGGAACGAAGATTTGTAACTATCCTTTATCTGTGTGCCAATTATGCCTCGAGTTATCCAGCCTTAGCGATACCTAACTAGGTATATAGCGCTTCGGCGGAGCCCTTTTGGTCCAGAACCGAGGAGCTGCCAGTTCTAAACGAGTGAGACATATAGATAATGCTCTCGAATTCTTTGCCAAGAAAACCAATGCTTCAATCGCGCAGGAAACCCGCGGTTCATTCTGCTCTAGCTGACACAAGGACCTGGCACCTGGTTGATGACCTATGCAGCTATGATTGTAACTCGAAGAGCCATCAACAGTCTCCTTGTCATGAAATCATGTCGAACTTATTTCAAGACAAACTATTTGGACGACAATAGCGAACGGAAGGTATAACTGCACGAATGTCTCTGTATATCAAGATCCTGAGCTGTGTATATCTGAAATACCGGAAAGAAATCTTTTGAAATAGACGCAGGTTATGAGTAGTATAGTAGTTATTATTAGAGAAGTATCATCACTAGAGTCAGAGGAGGCAGAGCCTCCTATATATAAGCCACAGCCTGTGGGGCGTCCAGCCACCTGAATTATCACAGCCACATCCCTGTAATCCGTCAAAATCGAGGGGGTTACGAAGTGTTCTGGAAGATAACGATGTTAGTACACATAAACGCCGAGGAGGGAACGGGACTAAACCTCTATAAGGGGCGTCTAAGGGAGAAGGCCTAGCTCTTGGCCGTTCTCAAGACAAGGAATATCGTTGGTTTGTCAGAAGTTCTGCAATGGGAAGACGGAGCTAATCCTCCCAAATATTGCCCCCTTTCATTTCCTTCTGAGTCCAATCCCAAACCTTTATTGCTAGCTTTGTATCATGCACGGGATCGACAGGATCATGTATTCTAACAGATTCATGGTGTAGCCAACTCTCCAGCCCCTTGCCCTTTGTTTCCCACGGCTTGTTCTTGAACCCTTCAACTACAGGCCCGCCGAGTTTCGGGGCCATCTTGGCCTGTTCGTCATCTGGCTTACACGAGAATAGCTGGAGATCTGCATCGCCGGGGTCGTTGATTGAGACAATTGTCGATTACGGGTGATGTTTGGTGAACCTCTGCGGGTAGATAACGCTCGCGACCTTGCTTGGACATATCGGTTTAAGGGTGTGGCGCCAGCGAGGGACTTGAGTGTTTCAAACTGGATCTTCTGCAGCTCGGCGTAGGTATTTTCGGGTGGTTGAAGCGAGGCTGACGACACACACGGGCTGCGAGTTGAATGCTTTGAAGAAGAGACCAAAGAAGAAATGGAAGAATAGCTTTAGGAGGAGGGCGAATTCGACGGGGTGAGTGCCCGGCTTGATCACGTAGCCTTTGTCTGCTTGGGTGGGCAGCCCATAACTGTGAGCGGGCGGTTAGCAGTATGCCATCAGAAGGGTGAGCCCAGAATGGAGAGCCGCTCAAGCCAAATTTGGAAGTACTAGCTTTGCTAGATGGTATCTGTTATGCTTTAGAATTTAAGAGACAATGCCTCCGCCTCGGAAGTGCGCATGATTACCTCCAGTATTAAGCATCAAGATGTTAAGGCATGGAGAGGACATAAGGACGCTATTGGCGACGTTCAGGTCTAGCTCTAGGGGGGTGACAGCTGCGTCGGTACCTAGATTTTGACATGGGCCACTGTCCCGTTGCTCTTGTCAGGGCTACAGGCGGTGGTCCAGGTCTGTGCCGGGTTGTACCTCAGTAGCTCAAGGAAGTGTTGCTTCCCTAACCCGCTGTTAATTGTCAATATGGGACAAAGTAATGAGGATAATAGTGGCTTCATTAGTGCAAGGTGAAGCTGTGTGTTAAGGCGAAGCCCCTCTATATATACATGTACAGGCGGTGTCCATACGATGGCCCGTACATCTCAGCCCTATAAGGCGTATCTCAACATTAGTAGCGGATAAGATGACATGGTCAATTGAGGATTCTGAAGGAGAAAATTGTTAAATGAAGCTTTATGTTAAGTTGAAAGACTGGCGAGGGCAGAGGTAGACTGCTTGAGGTCCCAGAGCTATAGAATGGCCATGTTTTATATCATCCGAGGCGAACAAATACAAATTGTCTATTCCCTAAATTCTAGATGAAGACGTACATGGGTCGCAGAAAGCAGTCATCGCCAGCGGGATTTTGGGCACACTTTTCCACTACAGGGGTCGATATTTAGCACCGAGAATATAGAATGCAAAGAGGGCCTCACAAAAGTACAGAAGACACGTGTAGTTACGGGAGAGAATTAGTTGCAAGAAGAATTGGAAAGTCAAATGTGTATTAATTTTTTCAGGCCGACGAGGCTCGCATGAGAATGGCCGAAACCAGTCCGAACCGGACAAACGACAGAGAACGACCAGCGAGGCATAATACCACCACCACGAGAACTACCACAGGCGAACCCTGTATAATATCGACCAGAAGGCCCAACGGACCAGAGAACCGAGCCAGAGAACCAGCCCAGAGAAACCGGAGAACGAGACCAGTGAGACGAACCGAAGAACGAGACGAACCGGAGAACGAAACGAACCAGAGAACCAACCGAGACGAACCAGCGAAGACACAACCACCACCCAGATGCAGTATTGGGAATCGAACCCAAATCTCAAGATCAGAAGTCTTGCGCTCTACCACTGAGCCTTACTGCGGGGACAGGCCGAAACTCTTCACGAAACCCAGAGCGACGACGTTCCACCCAACCAAATGAAACCCTCCCGAAATTGAATGTGACTTGTCTAAGCCTTAGTATACTTTGCTGCAATGGAGAACCGATCTTAACGTGATGACATCATTTACTAGGTAGCGGGTCTTCTATAGTTAGCTAGTGACAGCTAGGTTTGGCTTTTGGGGTCAATCTTACTGATGGGGTTGGCGAGCGGCCGCCAGCATTAGTTCACCAGGACGGCTTGGGCGCCGCCGATGCCAGGCGGGGGGCCTCGGTCGTCCTTATCATTGTCGGGGCGGCGGTCGGCGGGCGGAATGTATTCGGCCGAGGCGTCGCTGGCTGTCTCCTCGTCGTCCTCGCTCTCTTCCTCCATCGCCTCATCGTGGAGGTTCTTTGATGAGCCTTCCATCTTGTGGGCAGAGCGGTGGTGAGACTCGTTCTGGTGGAATGATTGGCTAACAAGTCCGCAGTCACCACATTTATATAATTTGCGGCTCTGCTTCTTCTGGTAGGCGGAATAGGGCTTATGCTGAGTGGTATAATGCGACGAGATGTTATGTTCGCCGTTCTTCATAAGGGCGTGGCACAATCCGCCCGACTTCTTGGGTTCTAGGCAGAGAAACCTAGCGCCCGTATTTACGTAACCGCGACAGCGGTTAGAGGCTGGCAAGGCATTCGGGTCCGCCTCTTTCGAGGCGTCCTTCTTGGCCTGCTGCTGCTCCTTCTTCGTCGGCTTCTTCGGCGGCATGGTTCTATAGTAAATTTATGTCAGTAAAGCATGTACTATTATTTGTCGGTTATTACAATCGAGATAATGAAAGAAGAGGGCAAACCTTACGCAACAAGGATGGAGTTGGATTGCTTTATATGCTCTAGAAGACCTTGGATGTTTTCGATGACTATGCCTGACTGTGGATGAGTTCGAGTTACCTTGAGAGACGCGGTAGGAAGGCTTACAGAAATGCTACAAGCACACAGCTCCGAAGAAGTAGGATTAGGTATAAGGCTCTGCGGAAGGGAGGTTGGGTATGCTCAGCTTGGGGAAGAAGGTTGGAATGTTTGGAGTTGGGGAGGTGAGATTGTATGTTCAGAGCTGGGGAAGTGGGTTTAAATATGCAGAGGGGGAGATGGGATCAAGTACACGGAGCAAGGCAGGCAGGGAACAACATGCCCAACCAAGCAGGAAGCAGACCCACGAATGAGGCGGACCCTTGAGGGATGCGGACCCACGAGGGGTAGGAAACAATACACGGAGCGGAAGGAGTGAAAGCTCTTCAGATGACGAGATCCGCTTTTACGGAGCGTGCTACGGTCCGGTCCTGCCACGGGTGCTCTGGCCGGACGACCCGGGCACTATGACTCGCATGCGTTTGTCCCCTGGTCAGGGGAAGTTGGGTATATAATGGATGATACGGGTCACAGCACGGCTCTTACGAGTCACAGCATGCCTCTGTGTCAGAAGCCAGAACAATTACTGTAAATATTAAAGATCAATGGAGCTACACTAATTCTCTCTTTCTAATGATATAACATTTGAATTTGACTGACTTCCCTATGTAGAATAGCTTCCTTAGGCGCTTGCTAAACTTCACCTTTTGTGCCCTTAACCATAGACACACATAAGTTCTGCTAGATTCATTACTATAAAGAAAGGAGTACTAAGTAAAGGCCCTGATGGACAGTTTTGGGAACTGCTGCGGGATATGGTTTCGTGAATAAAGGGGTCAGCTGGATACCACTGACCTGTAAATAGAGTCGACTACCTACGTGGAATTGCCTTGGAATCATGAACAGACGGCAGACTGGGTCTAATGGAACATCTTACTGGCAGGGGTAACCATCTGGTGCTAGCACTGACTTCAAGACGTGCCTTGGATCTAAGCATGGCTTTCATCAGCTGGCACATTTTCCTGCTGCTGAGACAAGACATGATACTATATTCACAGCAAACTGTTACAAGAGGCCAAAGAGCTAAATACGTAGCTGCAAATATGCCAAATATTATGGTAATTCTGACCTGAAACGAGAGCACTGCCAGCAATAGCCAGCAGCACTACATCTACATTACCGTTAATGAATGGTATTGTAAACATACCTAGCTATTAGGCCCTGGCCTGCTGACCCTGAGAACAACAACAAAGCTGCACTAGCTGACATTTTAGGCCCTTGGAAGGTCAGTGGTAGTCTTTGGTGTGGCTGGACAGGATCTTTGAATAGAAGTTTTACATACAGGATCAGACACTAGTTGTAAGAGGCCGTACCAAGCTCAGATTCCCCATAGATTAAGTTGATACCTTCATTATGCTGAGGAGAGATTGGAGATTATACAAACCAAACAGGCAAGGGCTTGCTAGACGAGGTGGAAGCACACATACAGCCTTTGGTTTCATGTGTACCCAGAAGGGGTTTTTAGAGCACCTGGCGTTGAAGCAGCTATTGCAAGTATGAACATGTCAAATGTGAACTACGAGGTTTATATCAACACCAGGCAATGGGTAATAAGTTCATGATGTTACGCAGCTACGAACAAGAATATACTCAGGTACTAAGGGTTTCCTAGTGCTTAGTGTTGCGATGCCACGGGGTCTTATATTGTATAAGATAGTCTGGTATGCGTAACGAAGTTCAAGGCACTCTTAAGAACTACAAGGCAATATAGGTAACTACTCTTTAGTAGAGGATAGCATGGGTTGTACTAGGAAGGAGGTATAGTATCGATGGCGTGGTAGTAATGTATGGACTGAATGTGATTCCTTTCACTGAGGGCAGATGAAAGGAGTACCACGAGCACGGGCCAAGCCCGGCTATCGCCAAACAATGCGCAACAGCCAGTGCTCAACTTATGTTTGGTACTCTCTTTGGCATAATCAGTAAAATCCCACTTTTAAGATTGTTTCTAGCCTACTCCGTCTGAATTTTGAGATGTTAAATCAGAGAAGCAGCTTCATATGCACCCATAGAATAATGACCGTACAGTGTATTAGTACTTAGCCTAGCCAATAGGCCGAAGATTGAAAGTCTAGATATCAGCAGCAGGATACGTAGCACAGTAAAAGACTCGACACTTACCAGTGATGATTGGGCATAAAGATAGTGTGTTATGATATATAATGAGAGGACTGGAAGCTGGAGGCATATATAAAGCAAGATCAAGCACAACTTTGCTGGGAAGGGTCCGAAGGGATCGGTAGCATTGTCAGTCGCAGGATACTACCCTTTATACCTCATCATGGTCTAGAGAAGCAACGAAGAAGACAGCATATGGCGCTGCCACTATTACCAGCAAAAACGGGAGATGAATTGGCCGGGCATTAGCTACCATAAGGGTACTTGCTACGGCTAGCTGTGCTAATAAACAAAATATATACAAAGAACACTGAATCTGAGTGCTCCGCGGTGGTCCCAACATCCTTTCAATACTCCTTTCAGCGACCCCTATGTCACAAGACCTTTATCTACTCACAAATTGTGGCAAAAGCGATACCGCTAATACCGTTCAGATATTCGCGCCTTATATACTCTGTGACATAAATGTATTCGAAATTCAAGAAGTACATAGTTGAAGTCTCGATGCGATGTGATTATTGCTGGGTGGATCTTTTCTTGGATGTTCTGCGTATTCGTGGAACGGAATCTTGGGGGAAGGGAAAGGGGGGCTAAGCCACATGTGGCGCCCACGCTAGCAAGGCTAAGGTTCAAGCCACAATTTGAGCTTACCTAGCCTCATGCAGCTGCGAGTTGCAACGCGCAGCTCGGGCTGCCTGAAGCTCCCCATTAAACATCACCAAATCCACCGAGCTTCACATCATCCCCATCTTCTCTACCGGTCATTTTCGCACTTTGATACCAATCCTTGCCTGCATAATAAACTCATCATGGTCAGTGTATCCGTCCCAGTAACCTCTATTTCCCCTCCCTCGCCAGTCTGAAGCTCACATTTCCCCATAATAGACGTCAATAGGAACAGGCTACGATCTCGCCAACTCCATCTTTTCGCCCGACGGACGCAACTTCCAGGTCGAATATGCAGTGAAGGCGGTAGAAAACGGCGGCACATCCGTCGGCATCCGATGTAAAGACGGTGTGGTCCTCGCGGTCGAGAAAGTCGTTACTTCAAAGCTACTAAAGCCCAGTGCAAACAAGAGAATCGCAACCGTCGACAAGCACCTAGGAGTTGTACGTTGCTGGCTCTCCCGCTTTAGTTCCCCTTCTGTCTGCAAGGTCATCTGCTTACTGTATGCCTCTACATAGGTCTACTCGGGCATGGTCCCCGATGGCCTTCACTTTGTTGACCGCGCGCGTGATGAAGCCCGCGCCTGGCGCGAAACCTTCAAGACGCCCATTTCGACCTCCGACCTTGCAAGCCGCATGGGTGGGTATCTACAAGCCTACACGCTCTATCAGTCTGTGCGTCCGTTTGGCATCACAGCTATCGTAGGCGGATTTGACTCGGAACTCGAGGCACCCGTCGACGGTGAAGTCGGCACAGGTCCATCTGTAGGCGCAGGCGGCAAGGTAGACGGCAAGCACGGTGGTCCGGGGCTCTACATGATCGAGCCGAGCGGCATGTACTGGGGATACTACGGCGCGGCGACAGGCAAGGGCCGACAGGCGGCCAAGGCTGAGCTGGAGAAGCTGAACCTCGCGGAGGGCACTCTCGACCTGAAGCAGGCGGTCAAGGAGGCGGCCAGAATTATCTACATTGCGCAGCAAGATAACAAGGACAAGGAGTTCGAGCTGGAGATGAGCTGGATAAGTGGAGCGAGCGGCCCCACCAAGGGCCGGCACCAGGAGGTCCCCAAGGATCTCCTGGAGGAGGCCGAGCGGTTAGCGAAGAAGGCCATCTCCGAGGAGGACGATGACGAAGAGGAGAATAAGGAAGGCGATAAAATGCAGGAATGAAATCCAATCTGAGGATATGAGCATGATTCAGCCTTGTACTATATGATGATGCGCGCAGCTTAGGACAGGTGATTATAGAC